TAATACATACATATACAAATAATATCTGCACACAAACAGATTAACTCTTATTTGTTTAAAGATCTATAACTGCATTAGAAAAAAAATGAAAATCCACAAATAATTTAAAACTCTAAAAACAGAAAAGAGTGCACAACAACAATGACAACAAAACAGCAAAGATTATTGCCTCAGATGCTGAAAAAACTCCAAAATTACTCTAAGCCTGAAAAAGGTAGAAGGATCCTGTCTTTGATGCCCCACAGACAATCAGGAGAAACTTAACATAGAGCCCGAGTTTATCTTCTCTACAGGATTTCTAGAGGAATATGTGCTTACGAGAAATTCCATATTAGAGAAAGCTAGTATTGAGGTACAGAGTGCCTAAGGCTTTTCTGTCCAGATCTGGAATAGCAGAGAGGAGAAATGAAAAGGAAAACATTGGCATCAGGTGGCTTTATGTGGAGGAGGGGAGGCCATACCCTTACAAGCCAGAGCTAAGAGTGCAGAGCTGAGAGTGCAGCTGAGACCCCTAGAAATGGGCCCAGCACATTGAACCCAGCACATTGTAAAGTTTGCGCAGATGCTGGAGACAGAAAATCTGTTTAAACTCCAGCACAGTCACTTTTGGGCCTTAAGACTCTGGACATGCTAACAAACATCTCTGTGCCTCAGTGTCCATATCTGTTAAATTGAGATGAATTATAATGATACCAACCTCATTGTATTGTTGTAAGAAATTAATGATCTGAGTGTGGTGGCTCACACCTGTAATCCCAGCACTTGTTCTTAAACCCAGGACTTTAAGACCAACCTATATAACATATAGACCCCTGTCTCTACAAAAAGAAGAAAAAAATGGAGCATGCCTTGTTGGGAGCCAACATCTATAGCTACATGGCTGAGGCCTGTAAAGGCCCATCTGGAAGATCGCCTCTGACATAGGATATCACTTATACCTATAATATTGGCATGTGATTAGTGACCAGTGTGCATACATGGCAGTAAAACTTATAAGTAAATATCAATATGCCTGATGGAGAGTGCACAGCAGAATTATTTTTCTCTGTCTTTCTAAGGTTTACTTCTTTCTAGATATTTTTTAACTTCTATTTCCTGGTAGACTGGGTAGTCAGCTCTTATTCCCGAAAGCTGTTTCCCCTAGGGCTAAGATTAGAAACTAAATTACCATAATAGTTTTGTCACCCTGCCCCTAGCCAGGCAGAACGTTTTCTTTTGTTTCGTTAATTACCAAAACTCTGCTTCAGCCCACAGCCACCATCATGGCGGCCATGCACTTCCTTGTTCAAGAGTGTGACAGCTACTATTTGATCTTTAGAGTAGACTTGTTAGGATAAAATATATACATATACACTCATAGTTGCGTAAATTTATGCTTGCTGTTTTGTTTCCTTTTGCTACATTATTCAAATATAATAGTTACTATAAGATTTATAAAAGAATTAACGATAAGGTATTAGCTTAATAAGATATAGCATAGTATTAAAGTCCAATCACTATATCATATAAAAATTAAAGTTTAGACATATGAAACTCATATGAATTATAGTAAAGTTTGGTAGTTTAAGAATAAGTTTTAACTGAGTTATAAGGCATTACGTTAAATCGTAATAGGATAATAGTATAACTAACAACTAAGTCATTTAAGGAAACTTATAGGTTATAGTATAGTGTTAAGTTGATAATATTAATCGTTAAAAATATTAGGAGTCAGTAAACTTAGAGTTAACTTAGAAAGTTTTTGTATTAATCAGGGTTTAGAACAAAGAGTATAATATGAATGATTCATTGAACATTATGAAAAACACTTTGAACGATCTGTATTGAAATTGTGCACCTGTGACCTTAATGTGGGTTTTTGTGAAGCACGACACGCATCATGGAATTCGAATTGTTTGCTTGGAACTTGCAAATCTCATGATGGTCTTATGATGCATAGTTTGCAAAGCACGGAACTTGTACGCCCCCAGCAAGTGATTATCACACTGCTGGAGGGTATAGAAAATGGTATACAAGTTGGAAGGAGTCCGAATAAAATTTGGCTTCAGTCCTGATCAGACTGTTCCCAGAAGAACTGCCTCTGAGTGGTCTCTTCTCACCGTCCAGATTCTCCGGTGCGGGTCCTAACTCTTCGCTCCAAGGTCAGAGCGGGTCTCCGACAATGCCTGTAGTCCCAGCTACTCAGGGGGCTGAGGCAAAAGGACTGTATGAGCCCAGGATGTCAGAGCTGCAGTAAACTGTTACATGCCACTGCACTCCAGCCTCATGACAGAGTAAGATCCCAACTAAGAAAAACAAAGAATGAATGCTTTACATGATTAGAACAATACCTGCTATAGAGTAAATACTTCATCATTACAAAATTAAGAAAACATTTAAACTATTATTGCATACTTGTCCATTATTAAGATGCAGTATAATTTATTTCCTACCTCCAATAGGTTTATTTTGTTTGTTTATAAATATATTATAAACGATCATAAGGTGAACACCTACATACATATTAATGTACACATTCAAGAATATCCATAAAATAAATACCAAAGAAGTGTAATTGCTTGAAGAATGAATATGTTTATTTACATCTTTATGGATATGGAAAATTTTCTTCAAAGAGAATGTAGAAATTCACATACCATTCATTCTTTCGTTCTTTCAAGTAGTCAATGATTTACTAAATACTCATTAAGCAAATATGTTCCAGACACTGGTTCAGGTTATTGATATACACTAGTGAGCAAAACAAAAATTTTTAATTGAATGGAACACATCTTTTAGTGGATGAAAACAAAGAAAAATAAACACATCAGAGGAATAAGCAAAGTTGTTTGCAACCTCTACTTTCCAGACAGAAAGTCTACGCTTTACAGAAGACCCTGGGCCAACTCCTGGCTCTGATAACTGGAAGTTGTGTGACTTTGAACAAGATACTTAACAGATCATCAATTTAGTTGTTTAGTTTTTAAAACTGGTATAATCATAGAATGGTAGGCTGAATCATGTCTTGACATTGTGAGATCATCCTTAATATTCCAGGTGGGCTCAGTGTAATCACAAGATCTCTACAAATGGGAGGTGGAAGGAGAAGAGTTCATAGTAGGAAATGTCACAACAGAAGCAAGGGTCTGAAGTGAAACAAAGAAGAGTTCCTAACCAAGGAATACAGGCATCCTTTAGGACCTAAAAGAGGAAGGAAAGCAGATTCTTCCCTGGAGACTCCAGAAGGAAATAGAACTGCTGATTCCTGATTTTAACCCAACTATGGGTGCTTGCCAACCCATATAATAACGGTGCATTAACACATTTTGATTTCTCAATTAAGAAGGTTAAAAGCGTGTAATCTGGCTAGGCTTGATGGTTCATGTCTGTAATCCCAGCACTTTGGGAAACCAGGGTGGGGACTGCTTGAGCCCAGGAGTTTGAAACCAGTTTAGGAAATAGGGCAAGACCGTGTCTCTATTGTAAAACTTAAAAATTAAAAAATTTAGCCAGGTACAGTGGCATGTATCTGTAGTTCCATCTATTCAGGAGGCTGAGGCAGAAGGATCACATGAGCCCAGGATAAAGAAACTACCATGAGCTGTGATCATGCCACTGCACTCCAGCTTGGGCGACAGAGTGAGACCCCAAATTTTTAAAAGTATACTGTATAACTTGGAGTTTTTATTGATGAAATACCAATTTTTACTTTCTCTTCTGTAACTTATCTAAATGATTTGTCTATGTTTCTATTATCTTAGAAGATTGTTTGGCAACAGCAAGTTATAATACAGTATGTATGGTATAAGCCCTGTCTTGCAAACAAATGTTTTAACCCCATATGTATGTGTGCACTATTTATATAATATATATTGTGTGAATATACATTCATGTATACATATATAATAGATGTGCACGTATGTCTATACCCATACTTTAGCTATAAAATGTATCCCAAAGTGTAAGTAACTTCTAGAAGATGAGCTGTGAGAAGGGTAATGAGTGATGTCACTTCTCATATCATACACTTCAAGAAGACAGGAAAAGAGATGAGCATAACTTGACATAATGAGATGTTAATCATCTATGCTTTAGAGATGTCATGAGGCTAACGATTTCAGGACCTTAGCATAAAATGATCATTCCACTTATGTTCAGGTAAAACAATGAAGTAGAAACTCAAAAAGATAAAGCCTGGGAATTCCTCTCACAAATTTTGTTCATATTTGGAGAGAGAAGAATAACACTCAGAACACATGAGTAGTAGTACAAAAACATATATTCATACTTGACTCTTAATTGGAAACATAAAGGGATAAAAATAATCCAAATATTTATTTAGGATTTAAGGAATGCCACTTGATAGTAGCACTGAGAAGAAACCAAAGTAGGTGCATGAATTCTAACACTTAATGTCTATTCCTCCCAATTGTGGATCCCATCAATATTTCCCTAAAGTTTGTAGCTGCTCCTGAACAAACTATCTCTCTGTGAAATTCAAACGTCAAGTAGCTTTGGGTGACCTTCCACCAAGAGAGCTTTCCTAACTTCTCCTCCCAATCTTTGTTTTTCTCTGTGTGAATCATTACGAGAACCAGCTTGACTTAATAGAACTCCACTTTCTTTTATTTTTTAGCAAGCACTGTACAAAAAAGAAGGCGAATCTAAGAACTGGCCCAACAATTTACAGCACCTTTGATTTAGTACCTGGAGAGGAAATAGCTCAACATGATTATATACTAATCATTTTTCTCTCTTTTATACTGAAAACATCTTTTATACTGAAAACATTAGATTAATATTAACAAGTGTAGGGGTCAATAGAGTGTTAAAGGGTATGGAAAACACCAGATGTATTTGTGCAGTGAAACTGAGGAAACTTTCCTTAACAGAGGTCGGATGTTCATGAGATCACGAGGGAATGAGGAGATGTGAGACAGCATCTCAAAAAGGCATCACATACAGAATAAGGGAGGTGAAAGACATCTTAGAGGAGGGAGATTTGCCGAAGACAAGCTAGTAGCAGCCAGACCCTCTGTCCTTCTTCAGAGAGGAATAAAGCAGAGCTGGTAGGAGGGTGGCAAAGAAGCAAATCCTTTGGTAACTGGGGTGATGTCAAGGTCCTTTGGGTCAACCAGAGACTTCAGTTCAAAGTTCTGTAAGATGGTGGTCAGGAATAAAAACAATTCCATTCGGGCCAGGCCCTCTCCCACACAAATCCGTTTTCCTGAAAATAACAAGCACAGAAGGGAGTGACTCTTTTTTTAATAATTGTAATTGCAAAAAACACTATGTTTGTGACTGACACAAAGAGAATATACAGTAACTGTTTAAAGAACCATGGGATTGGATTGCTATTTCACCAAGCAGCTGATCTTACCTGTTACCCTTCGTTCTACAATATTATCAGCTACATACCAAACACTTCATTAAGTATTTACATATCATAACTCTTGTTCCCAGCCTGACATTCCATGATCTTCGCTTCCCCTCTTCCACTCCCTGTTCTCAGTTCCAGCCAAACACACTTTTCATCAACCTCTAGCACACTGTGAAGTTTCTAGTTTTAGATCATGCTGTTTTTTTCAGTCAAAATGCAGTTCTTTATACTACATTCAGGAAATAGGTCATATTTAATGTCCTTTTTACTCTCTTATGATCCCCTCAAGCAAGTAAATTTTATTCTTTCTGGGTTTCCACAACATCAGACACATGTTTCCACTGAAAAATAAGCTAGGATCTGACTGTGTCTTCATAAATTCATGTGAAAACTTAATCTCCAATGCAACAGTGCTAAAAGCTGTTGCCTTTGGGAGGTCAATAAATCATAAGAGTTCTGCTTTTTCAGTTTGGAAGCACCAGATCAATACCCAAAGTCCCACATATCTGGCCCAGTAATGTGGAGGTATCATGAGGGAGAAGCATATGGGCATTGGGAGTGGAAATCCTGATTATGTACAAAAATCAATTCTGCCAGCCCCAGATAAGGCACCATATAAGTTCCAAGTGAACCAAAAGGTGACTTTGTTCCCTGAGGTATAAATGGAAATCAATTTTTTTACCCGTCGAGAAAGGCATGAAGTAATCACTTTTCTTAAAGTTGCCACACTCATCCAGAAAGTGGCCAGGGTCAAACTTTTCTGGGTTGGGGAATTCTTTGTTGTCATGCAGCACAGATGTTAGAGATGTTAATATGGTCGTGCCCTAGAAACAACAGGCATAGATAGCACAAGTTATAAGGAGATAATAGAAGAAAAGGAAACAATGGCAACCACATGGTTAAATCTTTTTATCTATAGTTGGGAATACTATGATCCAAAGACAAGGAGTAACATTTTCAGACAGGCAGATCCAGTAACAAAAGGCATCAGTTTAGAAACAGGGACAGGGTTCTTCCTAAAGTAGCCTCTGATCACATTTGAAGTCCAGAGTATTAGGATACTTAGGTACTAAATTTTCTGAATGTTTTTATAACCAAGCTTGGACACTGGTGTTTGTACATGTTTGCTGCTTTGGTTCATCACTTCAGTTTTTGCAGATCTCATATTCACACTATGGTTTCATATGAAGTCTCTGGTGGCACCTGAAATGTCAGCAGTATCTGTCCACAGGTCATTTTGAAAATATGCATGATGTAGTTTAAAATGGCATCTTCAGAGATGGTAAAAAAAAAATAGCATATATAAAATTGTTAAATGAGCCAGTCTCGGTGGCTCAGCCTGTAATCCCATGCCTTTGGGAGGCTGAGGTGAGTAATTGCCTGAGCCCGCAGGTTCGAGACCCACCTGGGCAGCGAGACCTCATCTCTACAATAAATCAAAAAATTAGCCAGGTGTGGTAGTACGCGCCTGTAATTCTGGCTACAAGGAAGGCTGAGGTGGAAGGATCGCTGGAGCCCAGCAGTTCGAGGCTGCAGTGGCCATCAGAGGCCACTGTACTCCAGTCTGGGTGACAGAGTGAGACTCCAACACACACACACACACACAAACACACACAAAAACTGTTTAATGATTATCTTTGCCTTGCAATTTGTTTGCCTTAATTTTAAAATCCAGAGAAGTTATTCATTTCAGACTCGTGGCTTAAAAACACAGAAAGGATAATCACTTTGTAGCAATTTACACAGGAATCATCAAGTAGGCAAGGCTTAATCAAAGCTAATAATAAAAATAAAAATAAAACCTTTAGGTGCATAATTTGTGAAGCAGGATTTTCACACTGTCTTAAAGTACCATGCCACAGATTCTTTAAATTATATATAAAAAGAAGAAGAATGGAGAAATCTTGCAATGGAAAAGTCTGGCAGATACCGCTTTATTAGTTGAGGAACTCAGCATAACCAGTGATGCCATAAGGGATTTTATGTGTCCTTGCCTCACCAATGTGACTAGTAAGATAGTCAAACCACCTATGTAATTTTCTTGCCGAACTTGTTACTGGATTCTAATCTCTAGAGAACTATTGCACAAAACCAGCTTACAGAACATTTCAAATGACTACTGGCCTAGACTCTTCAAAAAGGTCAACTTACTGAAAGGAAACAAAGGAAAAGGATTTTCCTTTGTTACAAGAGTCTAGAGGGGCACGAAACCCAAATTCTGTGCTTATTTTTTGACTGAATAGTGAATTGCAACAAACTTTTTTTGAAAAAAAAGTGGTACATATACACAATGGAATATTATGCATCCATAAAGAACAAACATATGAACTTTGCAGCAACGTGGATGGAGTTACAGTCAATAATACTCAGTGAGCTATCACAGAAACAAAGAACAGAGTACCACATGCTCTCACTCATGAGCACACCCTGAACATTTACCATAATACTATAAGAAAGGGATTGGCAGTAGCGGGATACTGTCGGGGGTGAGGGGAATACAACATCAATAAGGGTATCTGATCTCAAAGTAAACAAATTGGGGACCAAAGGGAGGCCCAAACTTTACCTGTATTGTGTCCATTGTATACCTAATCCTGAACTGAGCCCCCCATATAAATATTTAAAAATCTGTGGTATAATAAATATTAATTTGTCTTTTTTAAAAAAGATGCAAAACCATATATATTTTCAAAATATGCTACCAAAATTATTGAAAGTTCAAAAAAAATTGAAGCATGCCCATTATTACTCTATATCATAAATAAAAAGTTATTTAAAATGTCTCATTGATCTAAATGTAAGAGCTGAAACTCTAAGGTCTAGAAAAAAAAGACAAATATTAAGACCTTGTGTTGGCAAATTTTCAAATAGAGCACAAAAGCACAAATCAACCTCACATATTTGCACAAAATTCTACTGAGTAAAAATGTCTTAAACTGAGGTCAATATACAGCACTCCATATGCAAATTCAGTCTGCCACTTGTTTTAATACTGTCCATAAGGCAGGAATACTTACACTGAGAAATGCAAATGAAGAATAATATATTTGAAACAAAACAACTTTATATAAAATTTTTATTTTCATTCAAATTGGAGCTTATTCATCTCCAATCATTATGCAGTGTCTATAACTGCTTTCCTGATATGCTACAATTGCAGAATTCAGTATTGCATCAGAAACCCCATGGCCTGAAAAGTCAACAATATTTAGAATCTTTCACTTCTCTTACTTCATTATAACTTGTTTTATTTATGTTTTCAGGGACCACCATATTAATATTTAGAATTTAGGAAAAAGTTTGAAAACTCTTGTCGTAGACCATTATCTCCATGTGGGTCAGTGGCTCCAGCCTGTGGCAGAAGAACTCGCTTTTTGGTGTATAAGAGGATGATCTCAAGTACATGATATTGTGTATTTCTATACTAGGCAATCCCATGCAGAAGAGAATGAATGGGACATTCCTTTGAGGCTCTAGGCTCACAGGGCTCAAAAGACACCAGGCACAGCATGGGCCACACTGCAGAGGATGAAGGAGTCACCTCAGCAGATTTAACACTTCATCCAAGCAGGTCCCCAGTGTTGATGCATTGAATGGAAAAGACAGTCAATCTTTATCTGATTCTTCAGTCTGTTTCTCATTTCATTCACTATGGGGAATAAACAAGTTTCATTAATATTACACTCAAAACCCAAATGTTGAAGAATACAAGTATTCTCCTGATGGTGTCCTTCGGTGAAAGTTAGGTTCAAGTCCTAACCCTTGTATCGAATCAGTGATTATCAGGGCAAGCACCATAACTTCTCACCATATGCTGAAATTAACTCAAGATTAATTAAACACTTAAATGTAAACCCTAAAACTATTAAAATCTTAAAATAAAACACATAAAAAAACACTTCTGGACTTTAGTCTAGACAAAAAATTCATGACAAAGACCTCAAAAGCACAGGCAAAATAAACAAGAATACATAACAGGAATTTACAAAACTAAAAAACTTCTATATAGCAAAAGCAATCATCAGCAGAGTGACGGGCCACCTGCAGAATAGGAAAAGAAATATTTGCAAACTGTACATCTGACTGAGGACCAATAACTAAAATCTACAAGGAATTTAAACATCTCAACAACAGCAAAACTACTTCATTGAAAAGTAAACAACTAGCATGAAGACACATTTTTAAAAGAAGACATAGAAGTGACCAGCACCATATGAAAAACTGCTGAACATCATTGATCACCAGAGAAATGCAAATCAAAACCACAGTGAAGTACCAACTTACACCAGGCAGAATAGCTATGATTAAAAAGTCAAAAAAGATGTTGGGAAGGGTGTGAAGAAAAAGGGATGGTCACACACTGTTAGTGGGAATTTAAATTAATACAACTTCCGTCAAAACAGTATAGAGATCACTCAAAGAACTAATAATTGAACTTCCATTTGATCCAGCAAACCTCCTACCATACCGGGATGACTAAAACATGTATATACATTTTAAGAGATGTTATATATGTATTACTTTTTGAAGTTGAATTGAATTAAGGTAGCAATGTGTAGTATGACGTTCACTCAAAATATGGCATTAATCTTTTGTTATCAATATATATTGACTATTACAATTTTAATACAATTTTTTTCTTAAAATGTGTATGCATGTTGTACCACCCTCTATGTATCTATCCAAAGGAACAAAAGTATTATATAGAAATGACAACTACATTTGCATGTTCATTGCAGCATTATTTACAATAGTAAAAACATGGAGCCAAATTAAGTGTCCATTAATGGATGACCGGATTGAAAAATGAGAGATATATAGACTAGATAGAGATAAAGATATTGATGCTAAAGATAGATAGATATTTATATAATGGAATGGAACTTAGTCATAAAACAGAACAAAGTCAGGTATGTTGCACCATCATGGATAAAACTAGAATCTGTTATTTTAAGTGAATTAACTCAGAAACAAAAAACCAAACACCACATGTCTTCACTTATATGTGGGAGCTACATAACGTGTACACTTTCACATAGAGACTGCATAATAGACACTGAAGCCTTGGAAGAGTGGAAGGGTGTGAGGGGAGTGAAGGATGAGAAATGTACTTAGTGGCTACAATGTACACCATTCAGGTTCTGGTTATACTAATAGCCCAGACTTCACTATTGAGAAACATATTCATGTAACAAAACAGTACTGTATTCCTTCAATCTAAATCTATCTATACTCTATCTATACCTATATGTCTAGCTCTGTCTCTGTCATCTGTATATAGATATAAATACTAAAACTCTGAACAATATGTAGCAAATCGTATCTTTGTGCATATGCATATATATTTTGGGAGGAAAGTGAAGTCAAAATATACAATCATATCAATAGATGATGGGAAACAATTGTATAAAATTGTATATATACTCATGATGAAAGTATATATACAAGTAAGAAAAGAGGGCAAACTTCTTTCATCTCATAAATAATAGCTAACAAAATCTACCAAAATCAAAATTCTCAATAGCAAAATAGTTAAGTATCCATCCATCCCTAGCAGTTCAGAAATAAAACAAGGCTGCCCACTATTACCAGTGCTGTTCAGAGCTATCCTGGAAATCTTTGTCAGTGCAATAGTGCAATAAAGAGAATTTAAGAACTGGAAAATAAGAAATAAAATAAATATTAACCCAGTAGCAAGATGTACACACAAATTTCAAAATAAATCTACAGATGAAGTATTATCAGTGATTAGTAAATTTAGCAAAACTCTTAGATTAAAATAATCAGAATTATAAAAATCAATACTATGTCAATATATCAGGTAAAAAGAAATGGAAATGGCATTTTATAAATTTATAACAACAACGAAAATATGACTGATCTCATAAAAATCTAGCAAGAGATTTGTAATCGCCTCACCGACACACATTACTAAAAATAAAAATAAAGGAAAGCCCAAACAAATTAGGAGCAAAACCATATTCATGAATTAAAAGAATCAAATGTGTCACAGTGGCAACTCTTTCTAAATTAATATGTAGATTTAATGACACCCTGATAGAAATCCAAGCCACGTATTCTGGAAAATTAACAAATTGATACTTTTAAATTTTATTTGGGAATGTAAACACCTGAGCGTAATCAAAATAATAAAGGACAAAATCATGGACTAACAGCAACCAGAATGCATTTAGAGCCTATCACACTCAGGGATCTATCACAGAAACAAAGAACAGAGTACCACATGTTCTCACTCATAAGTGGACCCTGAACATTTACCACGATACATTAAGAAACGGGTTGGCAAAAGCTGGAAACTGCCAGAGGAGGGGAAGGGGACATAGCAGTAACAAGGGTACCTGATCTCAAAACAGGCGAAATGGGGACCAAAGGGAGGCCCAAACTTTACCTGTATGATGACCACCGGCGTACCTAATCCTGAATTGTACCCCACATCTTTAAAATAAAAATAATCTGCAAGAAACAGAACAGATCTGGAGGGCACACTGCCAGGTACCAAATCATACTATAAAACTTTATAGCCCAAACCGGAAATAGCACAAAATCTGTCAATCTTCCACAAGTGTGCTTTACGCCTCGGTCATCATATGTTGATGGGGGACGTACTGACAGGTATCTAATCAAGTTATAAAACTTTAGAGCACAAACTGGAAACAGCACAAAGTCTGTCAATCCGCCACATGTATGGGGTCTTACACCTCTCTTATCGTGTGTTCACTTTGCTGGAAACTTGGAGCCGTATCACGAATTTGGGGCCTTCAAGAGCACCGAGATGCCGTGCGAGGAACAAGCTTACCTTGGGGATGAGGTAGTTCCTGAATTTAATGTCTCGGGTCACTGCATGGGGCAGGTTGGTGGGGATAAGGTCAATGTATCTCTGGACCTCATGAATCACAGCATCCGTGTAGGGCATGTGGCTCCTGTCCTGCATGCAGGGACTCCGGTCTCTGCCAATCACGTGGTCAATCTCTTTCCGGACTTTAGCTGATAAGACAAAAGGAAGAACGGATGGAAAATAGAAAGAAACGGCACATTTCCTATAGCAGTTTAGGGTTTCGTGAAGCATGATGAAAATGTTCTTATACTATTATAAATAGAAATTATAGTGCCGAATGTACATGTAGGTTTAAAGAAGGAATTGTTATAGCACAAATGCGTACAATTATGCCGTAGGCTAGGCATTAATATAAACTTATACATTTGCATACATTAGCATGTATAATAAGTAACAGAAATGAGGAAATGATGTTTGAAAATATAAAGACAGCATGTATTTAAGTCACAAAATAGCTGCCCTGCAAAAGCAAAAAAAAAATCACATATTGATTTTATATTAAAATAGCATGTGACATTTGAAAAATTAAAATCTACTCACAACTTTATGTGTGTGTATTTGTGTGCCTCTATGTGTGTTTGCATTTATAATAGTATTCTCAGGCAACCACCCCTTCGGGTCCCCTCCCACTGTGGGAACTTTTCTGTCCCCTGAATAGACCCGGCTTTAAAACGAATTTTGGTAAATAGTTTTCTCCTCTTCCTTGCACTTTCCAGTGTTGTCACTTTGAACGTTCTATTAGAGTAGCTTTAAAAGAAAGTATCTATATTTTTAAATAAGACTGTTTCTTTCTCTTACTTACTCATTTGTAGACAATATTTAATGATTTACTCTTATGAGATATAAGAATTTTTATCTCCTTCTTCACCTCATATTGAATACACTTTCAAACACACATGCACACTCACTTCCCCTCACTCCATTTTTCAGAAAGTGTCTAGACCACAGTTTTAATTGTATAAACATTCATTGCTGAGATCACCCTGGCTGCATGCATGTGCTTCCCTAGTAAGACAACGGAGACTGCATTTCGTTTTTGGCAATTTCTTCAACTTAACCATGTCTCTTTATTTCAATTTGTAAATTTCCCCATTTAGAATTGCTTACAAATGTTCAGATAGAAATTTGAAACTATCAGTAATCTTTTTTAGTTATTGGGAACCCTCATAACATCTGTGACATCTCTTTTGTTCTTGGTGTCTCCCTTCACAGCTGCATTATCCTCCTTGCCCTTTCTGAAGAGGTTGTTTTCTGAGCGTGGTGCCCAGCTGTCTCCCTGACACTCTCATTCTCCTACATGAAATCTACAGATTCTTGGGTCCAGTGACTTCCTCTGACACGAGTTCAGACATTTGGATGAAGCACATCCTTCAATATTTTTCTGAGGAATGGAAAATAGAAGGCAATATTTTTGGCAAATGGGCCAAAGTTTGAAAATACAATTCTTCTAATAAGGCACAAGATAATAGCTACTCTTGAGAATTCTGGCACTTCTAATCTTTTTTATGTGACCTAATAGATCTCTGATTTTTTGATTTTCCCTTTAGTCCTAATGTTCTGAAATTTTATGATCCTGTATCTTTGGGAGGATATTTTTACTTCATTCCCTTTACTGGAAACTTGGAAATAATTTTCTATTAAAATAAAACAATATATGCTGCATAATCCCAGTGCTTTGAGAGGCCTAGGTGAGAAGATTGCTTGAGGTCAGAGCTTTGAGATAAGCTTGAGCAACTTAACAACACCCCATCTCTACAGAAAAACAGAAGTTAAAAAGTGTTAAAAATGAGCTGGTTGCAGTGGCAAGCACCTGTAGTCCCAGCTAGTCAAGAGACTGAGGCTGGAGGATTGCTTGAGCCCGGAGTTCAAGGCTGCAATGAACTATGATCACGTCACTGCACTCCAGCCTGTATGACAATGTGAGATGCTGTCACACAAAAAAAGAGGTGCAGACACCTTTTCTCTAGAGTTGTTTCCTCTCTGAAGTATAAAATACGCTGCCAAGCTATATTCACAATAGCAAAAACATGGAACCAGCCATGTTGCCCATTGAGGCTGGACTGGATTTTAAAAATGTGGTACATAGACACAATGAAATATTATGCAACTAACAAGAAGGACAAACATATGGACTTCGCAGCAACTTAGATGGATTTAGAGTCGATCATACTCAGTGATCTATCACAGAAACAAAGAAGAGAACACCATATGTTCTCACTTATAAGCGGAACTTGAACAATTATAATTCTATAACAAAGCAATTGGTAGCAGTGGGAAACTGTCAGAGGTGGGTTGGTGGGATTGGCAGTTGAGGGAAACTGCTAGGGGAGGGAGGGGCACACCTCATCTCAAGGGTCCATGCGTAACAAACGTTTGCATACCTAACCCAGAATTGTACCCAACATCTTTATAATTTTTTTTTTTAAAGACAAGCTGCTGAATTTCAGGAAGCACAATGGAGGAAAGAGATTAAGAGTCTCTGAATTCAATGAATGGACTCTTACCAAACTTCCTTTTTTAGTCCTACACTTCACATTTTCACTGTGACTGCTCAGTATCCTTGAGTACAGAGCTACCTTGGCTGAATTACTCAAGAGTGAGACTCCCTCTTCCTCTGGGAGAAATCAATTACTTGATGAAAAGAGGTGTGGAAGGAACCTGGACAGGGAGAGCCTCCTCTTTCAGCCTCATTGTTTACCTTCTTTGACACTTGGTACCTTCAAATACTGAATCTTATAGGGATTGTAGGGGCAGAAGTTATCTTTTCCTCCTTGATAAACCTTTCTTTTCTGATTTTTAGGCTACAACTTCATCCTCTGCACTAAGTCATTTATCCTCCCTCCATCTGCTCTCTGTGTTCCTGAAACTTTTTGGAGAGCTTGGTGGTTGTTTTCTGTGGTACTTTCTTTTTAATTAGAAGGCCTAATTCCTCTTATATTTTAATTACATCATAGTCATTTTAATGGTACCCTTATTCAGCAAAATAATACTTCTTATTTGCTGCATAACTGCCACTTTTGGAAAAATTAATAATTAGAGATGTTCACAAAAAAATACAATTATTGACTTTACCTTAAAATTCTTATTTTCCAAACACCAGTATTATAAAAAAAAATTTAGGTGGATATTCCACCTAAATGGAACATCTTTTAGGTACATTTGCTGTCTAAATGAAAGCCCCTTTCTTATGAATCTAGCATTTTATAATTCTTCCCAGACTGGAATTTATCATAGGCATCCTCAGTAAATTTTTAGGATTTCTACTAACGTTTCAATAAGAAGAGTTTCCATTTTTCCTACTCCACCATTAGAACATGAAATTTCTTCAGTAAGAGAGAAGATATTCTCAAGAATCCACAGGATGCTCAAAGTGGTCTTTTCATAATAATGCCAACACACAATCTCAGGCCAAATGATACTGACTCTGCCTGCCACAAATGCCCTCCCTAGATTCCAGACCCCACACCAGAGCTCTATTGCTTTTTCTGCTGTCTTGCATTGTCACTTCTCTCAGTTTCCGCCCGTATTGTGAAAAGTCCCATTTGAAGAACATCATGAAATTTTGACAGCTTTTAGCTGGTGGAACAGAAGTATATGTCATGAAACTTCTCCAGTAGAAACAAGATGTAGGATACTGGCAGCAACTTTCGAACATTTTTCTCTGAAATTCACTTTGCGAGTCATGTGTGGTCATACCTGCCACTTCAGGGTGTTTCAGCAGAAGCAGGAGAGCATATCTCAGGGTTGTGCTTGTTGTCTCCGTCCCAGCTCCGAACAAATCATTTACAGTGTTTACCAAGTTTTCAATAATAAATTCAGATTGCTGGTTGTGCTTTTCCTAGAAATGATTTGATACATTTGTCTGATAAATTGCTTGCCAGCATATTTAATGACAGTGAATACAAAATAACTCGCCTTGGTATAACAATAGTCAACACAGAAACTGAAGAGTATAGTATTAGGACAAAAACAGCTTGATGGTAATAGCGAGGATTATTTGACCCAAACACTGTTTCCCAATTTCTTATTCCATGCTTGCCTTAAAATGTCATTCAGCCAATACTTTTCAGCTCAATGAGTCAAGCAGTATATTTCTTTTATGAAAAAGATAAGCAGAAGGCTATATATTGGTGCCACTTATATTTCCTTCTTCTTATTCAAAACGTCAATGTGAAATAGGGAGTAGAATAGACCTCATCTTGGACATGAGGATTTAGTCATAAAAATAAAGTCTAGGCCGGGTTCGGTGGCTATGGGAAATGCTATAAGCTCAAAATTATGTATAGTTATGCTCAAAAACAGTTGATACCAGTAAAACCGCCCAGAAATTCTGTGGGAAGAACTGATAGGAACTCTGGAAAAGGGAATAGTCTATAGGATCCAAAGATGGGCACAACTCAGGAATCACTTTCAGAAGGTGACAAGATGGCAGTGAACGACATGGGCTGAATCCCTAGGTGGCAGAGATCAGTGGAAGAACCAAACCCTCTTAAACTTGCTAAGGTTTGGAGAAACTGAAGAGGCATGAGCATGTTAAAAGTGTCGTATTAAAAGCAAACAACTCATTGTTGTAACAACATGGAAGGGAGTCTTTGAGATGCATTGCATTAGAAAGTTATACTTATCCCTCCAGGACCCAATATCCACTGGAAATTTCTGCAAATATCTCATGCAGAATAACCTAACTCATTCAAATATGAGGGTTTTTTTTAAAAAAAGAAATTAATACAGCACTCATAGTGATAGTGTATACTTTCAAATATGAGAAACAGCATAAAACAGTTTTATAGACAGTGTTCGCTAATAATATGTTTTTATGGGTTGGTATTTCAATGTGAAACCTATTCAGTAAATGGTGCTGGGAAAACTGGCTGGGCACATGCAGAAGATTGTAACAGGACCCCTATATATCCCCATGCACAAAGGTTAACTCCAAATGGATCAGAGACCTAAATGTAAGACCTCAAGCCATAAGAACCTTAGAAAATAAAGGAAATACCCTCATGGAAATCAGAACAGGCATCCAATTCCTGAACAAAACCAAAACCCACAGGTCATAAGAGAGAAGATAGACAAGTGGGATCTAATTAAACTGACAAGCTTCTGCAAAGCCAAAGAAACCATCAAGAGAGTAGGGAGACAGCCTACAGACTGAGAAAAAGGATTTGTCAACTCCAGGTCTGACAAAGGCTTAACATCCTGGACCTACAAAGAACTCAAACGTGCTGAAAAGAAAAAAACAAACAACCCCATTATAAATGGGCAATAGACATGAACAGACACTTCACAAAAGAAGACATCTGAGCAGCCAACAAACACATGAAGAAATGCTCAACCTCACTAATCATCAGGGAGATGCAAATCAAAACCACACTGAGATACCACCTAACTCCAGTCAGAATGGCAATTATCAACAACTCAAAAATAACAGCTGCTGGAGAGGGTGTGGCGAAAAGGGAACAGTTCTACACTGTTGGTGGGAGTGTAAACTAGTGCAACCTCTCTAGAAAGCAGTGTGGTGATTCATAAAAGCTTTAAAAATTGACCTTCCATACGACCCTGCAATCCCCCTACTGGGAATATACCCTGAAGAATGCAAATCACTCTATAAAAAAGTTACCTGCACACGTATGTTTATTGCAGCATTGTTCACAATAGCAAGAACCTGGAAGCAACCATGCTGCCCATCAAAATAGGACTGGAATAAAAAATTGTGGTGCATATACACGATGGAATACTACACAGCCATAAAAAAGAACAAAATCATGAATTTCGCAGCAACCTGGATGGAACTAGAGTCAATAATACTGAGTGACCTCTCACAGAAACAAAGATCTGAATATCACATGTTCTCACTCATATAATGGACCTTGACATCCAATTTAATACTATAAGAAAATGACTGACGGTACTGGGAAACTATGGGGGGGAGGGAGATGGGATTAACAGTAGCAAATATCTGTTTGGGAATGGGGAAACACCTCTTATCAACAGGTGCCTGAATGAAACGTAATTGTACACCTAACCCTTAACTGTACCCCACAAAACCATAATAAAAAATATTGATCATAAAAAAATAAATAAATAAATAAATACATAACAAAGTTACTGCCACTGTGAAAGAACAAAAGTAGAAAGTATAACAATTGCCGGGCTCGGTGGCTCAACCTGTAATCCCGCACTTAGGGAGACCGAGGTGAGTGGATTGCCTGAGCCCGTGGGTTCGAGACCCGCCTGGGCAACTTGGTGAGACCTCATCTCTACAATAAATCAAAAAATTAGCCAGGCGTGATAGCGCACGCCTGTAATTCCAGCTACTTGGAAGACTGAGGCGGAAGGATCACCGGAGCCAAGCAGGTCGAATCTGCAGAGGCCGGGAGCAGCCACTGCACTCCAGTCTGGGCGACAGAGTGAGACTCCAACTCAAAAAAAAAAAAAAAGTATAACAATTAAGCAAAAGGTGGCCAGACTACAGCAGAAATTAAAATGAGAACTAGCAAAACTAAAAAAAAATAGAAAAAAGATTACAAAACTAGACAAAATTAAATGTCTTTTAGATTAAAATTTTAAAGACAAACTTAAAAGTCATTTTAATTAAGGTTAAATGAAGAAGATCAAAAGGAGATAAGTAAGTTTAATAAAACAAATCAAGAAAGAAATTATATAATATAATGTTAATACTATATAATGCAATATTAAGACCATTAAAAGGTATAAAATAGAGTAAAGGCTTGCCTGCACACACATAAAGTTCCTGAAAAGGAAACCACAAAAGTCTCCAAGAGGATAATTTTAAAATATAGTTCAAGAAATGGACTTAGAATCTATATTACTGTGTGATCTATCATGGAAACAAAGAACTGAGTAGCACATGTTCTCACTCATAAGCAGACCTTGAACAAGTACTATAATACTATAAGAATGGCACTGGCAGTAGTTAGAAACTGCCAGGGTAGGGGGACACACCTCATCAGCAAAGATACCTGCATAATGACCATTTGTATACCTAACCCAGAATTTTTTTAAGATGAATTATATATATATATATATATAATTTATATATATGTATATTTCAAGCAAATGCTCCTTTTCAAAAAGACATGCAACTCTAGATATTGAAAGGGCACACCATGTCCAGGGAAAATTAAACACAACATTTAAGCACCAAGTCACAATCTAGTAAAGTTTGGGGGCCTTAAAGAAAAATAGAAACCTTGGGGCAGCGAGCTCAAAAGATCAATTACTTATACTTCTTCATATCAACAGACCCTGCCAGAATACACTGATTGACAATAAAAGACATGCAAGAAGAGAGGAATAAAGCCAAGAATTTTATATCCAGTTATACTGAACTTCTAGAATAAGAGTTACCAAGTTTTGCACACATAAGATCTGAATGAATATTCTTCTCATTAGCTTTTCTTGTGGAAACTGTCAGAGTACACATTCCAGCCATCCAAGAGAAATGTTGACAAAAGGGTTAGTGGTAATTACTAAATGCATATTTACTGCAAAACGGAGATGAAAACAAGAGTGGGGATAAGGATGACATAACAGAACATCAATATTCTATGTTTTGATCATGTGAAAATTATACAACCAATAAAAATGAGAAAACAGGAAGAAAAGTTGGATAAAACCAGTTCACCACAAAATGCTAGTGAACAAAATCAAGAAGCAAGTCGGGCTCGGTGGTTCAGCCTGTAATCCCACACTTTTGGGAGGCTGAGTGTGAGTGGATTGCCTGAGCCCATGGGTTCGAGACCCGCCTGGGCAGCGACCTCATCTCTACAATAAATCAAAAAATCAGCAGGGTATGGTAGCGCATTCCTGTAATTCTGGCTAATTAGAAGGCAGAGGTGGAAGGATCACCGGAGCCCAGCAGGTCAAGGCTGCGGTGGCCGGGAGAGGTCACTGCCCTCCAGTCTGGGTGACAAAGTGAGACTCCAACTCAAAAAAAAAAAAATCAAGAAGCACATCAAAAAGATATTTTGCCATAATTAATTGCGAATCACCCCAAGGATACAAGGATGATTCAACATATACAAATCATAGACTTGATACATCACACCAACAGCATGAAGGACAAAGTCATATTGTTACCTCAGTTGACACAGAAAATGCATTTTATAAAATTCCACATCCTTTTGTGATGAAAACTCTCAACAAACTAGGTATAGAAGTAATATATCTCAACACAATGAAGCCCACATATGACAAACACGGCGCTAATATCATACAGAACAAATCAGAATAAAGATTTGTCTTTAAGTTCCAAAATAAGACAAAGATGACCCCTTTTAGCACTCACAGTCAGTATAGTACAGTAAGTCCTCAACAGAGCAAATAGCCAAGGAAAATAAATAAAGGGCATCCAAACAAAAAAAGAAGAAGTCAAGTTGTCCTTGTCTGCAGATGGCATAATCCTAAAATTCATGTGGGGATTCAAGGGACTCAGAATAGCCAAAAAAATGATTAAAATGAACAAGAAACTATAAGGATTCACCCTTCAATTTTAAAACTTTTAATAAAACTGTATAAATTAACCTTTTTAAAACAATGTACCACTGGTATAAGGCCAGACATACAGATTAATAGAGTTGAATTGAGAGCTCACAAACAAATTTTTACATTTGCAGTCAATTGATTTCTGACAAGGATGCCAAGGCAATTCAGCAGGGAAAAAAAACTTTTCCACAAATAATGGAGCGACAATGGGTTTTATGCCAACAGGTTACATGATAATATACCTGGAGGATCTCAAACCATTCTACACAAAATATACCTGCGCACGTATGTTTGTTGCAGCTCTATTCACAATAGCAAAATCATGGAACCCGCCATGCTGCCCATTGAAGCTGGACTGGATAAAAAAAATGTGGTACATATACACAGTGGAATATTATACAACCATAAAGAAAAACAAACATATGGACTTTACAGCAACTTGGATGGATTTAGAGTCAATCATACTAGTGATATATCACAGAAACAAAGGACAGAGTACCATATGTTCTCACTCCTAAGCAGACCTTGAACAACTATCATAATACTGTAAGAAAAGGATTGGGGATGGTGGAAAACTGCCAGGGGAAGAAGGCTGAGATTGGCAAATGAGAGAAACTGCTAGGGGCAAGAGGGGTACACCTCATTAACCAGAGTACCTGCATAATCAACATTTGCATACCTAACCCTGAATTGTGCCCCACATCTTTATAATAAAAATAATAATTTTTTTAAAAAAGAAACCAGTCTCCAACTCATTATCTCTGCAAATTGACTTTAGGTACCACTCATTTAAAGCTTCTCTCTTCCATCTAACTACTCCTTCCAACCACACACCACTGCACTTCTACACAAGCCAGTCAATCCATCTGAAAACCCTCCCCTGTTCCTCATTACAAATATTTGACACCTATTTCAACCTGCAGCACATGCAGGAAGCCATCCTATGTCAAGTCATTCTTTTCCATTCTGCCGTACAGTGTGTAATGATATTGTTTATTTTCATCCTGTGGCACGATATTTTCCATTTTGTTTTCTCTTTTTTTTTGAGTTGGAGTCTCACTCTGTCGCCCAGACTGGAATGCAGTGGCTGCTCCCGGCCACCGCAACCTGGACCTGCTAGGCTCCGGCGATCTTTCCGCCTCATCCTTCCGAGTAGCCGGAATTACAGGCGCACGCTACCACGCCCAGATAATTTTTTTATTTATTGTAGAGACGAGGTCTCGGCTGCCCAGGCGGGTCTCAAATATTTTGCATTTTCTAACCTGTTTGTAATTGTTTCCACTTCATCTGCAGTGTCTATTTTGTTCTTTTTCGGTATATTATTTATTATAAGAATTGGGCAATGTATTCTAATTACTTAACAATTTAATTTTATATTTTCCATGAGAAGTACTGCAGATTCATACACATAAGAAAAACTTAATGTTGCTCTCAAGCGATACCCTCTGACCATTTAAACATCCCTTGGAAACGTGAAAGTATTCAATGCACAAGCACTAACAAAATGCATAAACACTCACATAACTGAACTGTTGCTAACATTTTTACCTGCTTCATTTTTATCAGGAAACAATCAATAAAGTCCCGAGGGTTGTTAACGTCCAGAGATTCTTGGTTTTCTTTTACCTTTTTCAAAACATAACTTTTTATAGATTCCATATTTCTAAGTAATTTGTTATGAATCCCTGGCAAATAATCAATGATAACAGGGTAATGGTTGCAAATCTGAAGAAGAAAACAATAATTTATTAAACAAAAAACATTTAATACAGTCATATATACCATTTATCAATCTATAGTTAGAAAATATAGCTATAAATATACATAAAATGTGGTGTCTATCTTGGGGGAATTTTTATTGTGCATATGTAGCAATTCTCTATACCTGTAAAAAGATCTGAGGAAGAAAATTCTGACCAGAAAATCAAAAATAATAATTTCCTAGACTTATATATCAATTCTCTCATATTTTGCACAAATTCTTTCCTGCAACCTTAAAATATAAGATGGCATGAATAACTGTAATTCACAGTTTGTAGATTTCAGCAGAGGTTAGGAGAGTTTAGGCCACCTGGTTGAGAGCACTAAGAGAGTCCTTGCTGCTTTTACTCCTATCAAACAGCCTCAGAAATAGAATCAGTATTTTAGAAGAGGGAAGGACACAAAAATACCTTGAAACCTAACTATGTACCAGTGTAGTTAGGCGACACCTCTAGGATCCTACAATTACCAATTAGGCAGGAATGTAGACATGCCAATTCAGTGCAGGGAAAAGCTGTGATGTTTGTTTATGGCTCAAATGCCATAAAACTAATAATTTTTGTCATTACCAATCCAGTTATCTTGTCAACTCGAATACCAACTGAGGCATCAAACACTGCTGCCCTACTCAGTGTTTTCTGGAAGCTTCTATGGCCTAAAATATTCTCCTTCCTTGAAAGGCATGGACTGTTCTTAAATTAGAATATTTTTGACAAGTAATATGACTAACAGGTCTCTAAGTGTTGATTGAAGAAAAAGTCCTGTGGGTAATGAAAGCCTTTGAAAGGGGTCTGGATGTCTATTGAATGATATGGGCCTGTTTGGGGGCTGTCACCAAAGTACTTTATAGAAACTAAACTTTGGGATAAAGTGGAAATATGTGCATGAAGCTTACAGATTTGAAAGCCAGTCCTATACTTAGACATTGATTTTCTGTGTGTAAAATAAAGGCACAATCATCCTTCTTAGATGTTCACTCCATGACTCTCTGGGTAAGAGTGTAGTACTCAAACATACACTTCACAGCTTGGTTCATATGAAGTTTTGGACTCATGAACGAGAGAGAGAGAATAAATGATTTCTCAAGAAAAAAAAGAATTCTTAGCCTCACCTGCATCCATGGGGAGCTCACAATCATGGTATTTTCATTAAATTTTTCTAACAAGTTAAGAAAATCTTCATCTTTATAATCAAAACGATTCTGGAAAATAATGGAGCAGATCACATTGCAGGGAGCACAGCCCAGTATAAAAGTGGGATCACAAGGTGAGGCTAGAGAATGCAAAACATTTTAAATACCATTAGAGCATAGATATAGTACAATTTATCTTTACAAGTAAAGGCAGATTATAAATTTTAAAAAATATTTGATCTACAAATTCCCTAAACATCAAAAAATTCTGCATGTATAAAATCAACAGTACATCACTTTTACATTAAAACTGAGTTGACCGCTACAATCTAGCTCTTGGTTCAGATTTTTCTAATACTCAATTCATAACCATTGCCTTTATGTGTACCCTTTTAACCCAAGTTGTGTATTATTTTGGAAATTTTTAAAAATACAGTTTTTAAAAACCTAATGTATACAAATTTTCAGAGCAGAATCACATCTGTCTACAAACCCTGTTGACAATAAACTACTGAGAGTTAAAAAAAGATTGAGTTGGCCATTAGTTTGGCCAAGTCAATCTTTTACATGTAAAGAAATTAAACCATAGCAAATGTTTTCTTTTATGTTGGAGGGTCTCTAAAATGAAATTGTTGTAATGAAGTTATCAATAAAGTGTCTATGTTATGAGCATCCAAATTCATATCTATAGACCCGAAATAAGAGTGACTTGAACTGAAAATGTCCTGAATAAATGATAAAATATTGAACATTAGAAAATCTGTTGAGTAAGCTGCTTCTGTGCTGGGCTCTTTAGAACATTACAATGCTCCAAGTTCTGAGTTTTATTTTAGCCAAGAAGCTGAGGGGAGGGGTAACTTGGAAACCCTTGGGAAATATGTGTGTGTGTGTGTGTGTGTGTGTGTTTGT